AGACAGACAGACAGACAGACAGACAGACAGACAGACAGACAGACAGACAGACAGACAGACATACGCGACAGAAAACATTACCTCCACCAAAAATGTAAACATCACAAATTAGGAGATCCAACTTTCATCACAAATTAGGAGATCCAACTAAAGTCCTGATCACCTCTGTGGACTAGGACAATTAAAGACCTGATCACCTCTGTAGACCAGCCTGGACCTCAGSACAACTAAAAATCTGATCCCCTTTGTGGACCAACCACTCCTCAGTATTATTTTCATTAACATTTAAGAAGTTGTCCAAGCTTTTACCTCAGAGTCTGTCTGTCCATGGTTTTAGTGAGAAAAATTAATTACGCTTCAGCTGAGGGTGTGTGACTGTCATAAGAATAAAATAGATGTAGAACTTTCTAAAAAGGAAGCCAAAAGGGAGCATATGAATTGAAATTAGAAGGGGTCCAAGAATGGACCCTTGGGGAACTCCACATGTGGGGGGAAGGAGGAGGGGTTGGGGAGCTGAGGAGGAAACAGATTCTCACAAAGTTCCCAGAGAAACTCCTGTTAGACAGATAAGACCTAAACCAGTCTAATACAGAGCCTGTGATAGCGCACTCAACGGTGTCAAATGCAGCTGTCAGGTCCAAAAAATCATGAATTTGTAGCTAATACAGTAAGAGCACTGGAAGATTAAAAAAACTGTTTCTGTGTTGTGTACAGCTTTAAAATCAGACTGAAACATTTTAAGAATGTTGTAGATGTATGACAAATAGTAAGAATGATACAGTCATATTTTATCTGTAAAAATAAAATACAGGTGCTCATCCTAATTAATAATTAACAGTGTTTCTGTCCTGGTGAACTGAACGCTTCTGTGCTGTGCTGCTTACCATCGTCCTCTTTGTTGTGGGAGTCGTGGGAAMTATGGCGCATCTTTTTACCACGGCTTGCCAGGCTCAGGTCTGACACCGCTCCCAGATCAGCCGCTAGCCATGTGGGCTCACTCATCTCTGTGTCCTCGCCGCTCACTGATCTGTCATCCTAACCACAAACACAGAGAACACAACAATGTGACGACGTGAGAGGCTGAGCTGTGGGAATGTACTGTGATATGAATGAGAATTCATCAACAGTATAACGCATATATGAACAGACAGATAGCTCTATCTGTTTATATGGGTAGATAGACAGACAGACAGACAGACAGACAGACAGACAGACAGACAGACAGACAGACAGACAGACAGACAGACAGACAGACAGACAGACAGAC